ACACGCGCACTTGTTTCCATTCTCTTTGTCGCTTATTCGCAAAACGTATGCCCACACTTACTACGGTGTCACATTTAGAAGCTAAGTGTGGAGTTGCGCTTGGGTTCTTACATGTGTAATGACAAAGTCTTCTGGCTCCGGAGTATAATACCAATTGCAAATACGATCGACGTATCCGAAATGTTGATCTAAATTTTGAATTTTTGTTTGACCATTTTCATCGCGCACCTCGGTCTGCAAATTCCGTGCTTTTTCGTTTTGTTCGCATTTCACCTCTTCCTTTTTCATGCTTATTGTAAATGATCCGTGTGGACAGCAAAGTCGAATACATTTTCTGATGTTACAAATACATCCACGCAATCCGACACCTTCACTTCCATCTGTGTGATTGACAGTGTGGCTGAAATATTGATTCGGCGGATATTCGATACCATTGAATACGATGCTGTTATTCGACTGCAATTCTCCGTCATTGATGTTAATCGAATCGACGAAATCGCAGGGTGATCCATGAACTATTGTAATTATGCTCGAAAATAATAATCCAAAGAGACCAAACGTCAACCACATCATCTCGAACGATCGAGTGTTATGCTTTTGTGTGAAATATTTTTGCTAGAAAATATGTAGGCATGAATCTAGAACTGAAGCGAAACAGACAATGTTAAAAACGAACTGAGTCCTAGAAATTCTTCAGTACGATTGACCGATTGAACACACAATATTTCAATTTGTTCTGTTCTGTCCCTCTAAACTGAACCAGGTGAGTTACAGGCATTGACTTATTGAAAACGGCAATGTTCTATGTTACAGTTTGATAAATGATAGATTTGAAAGGTCAATTTGTGCATAAAATATTGGAAAAATGGATATCTCTACACTGATCGGATATTTTGTGCACAAGTAAATTATTGAAGATGTCAGACGCCGATTTCGAAATGACTTTACGCATTCGATAGAGTATCTCTCGAACCCTCCCCCGCAGAAAGAGCGAATAAATTCGTTTTTAGTTTTCAAGTTTTGAATAAAATGGAGTGTCGAAGTTTTCATCACATTGATATTTCAATTCAATTCAATTCACAATTTCACCATATTTATTGTTCAAATATCACGCGTTATCCAAATTGTTGATAACCTTAGAATTGATTGAATTTATGTAGAAGCTACACTGATAGAGATACCTTTGTTTGAACAAAACACCAAAATAATTTTAAAAAAATCTGCACCAAAAATCCGAATACCAACTAATCCGCGATACGAACGAGCACTTGATCATCA